ATAGATTGTCTTTAATATAATTAAAAATTTCATTTATAAATTAATTAAAGAATATACTTGTACTATATATTTTCAATTTTTAAAATAAAATTTTAAACAAATAATAAAAATTAAAATTTATCAAATAATTATTTATTATATTTTTATTTTAACAAACATAGATTATTTTATATTTAAAATTCATTTAAAAAATAAAGCTTATAAAAAAAATTTAAATACAAATAAATATATTTTTTTAAAATTAAGAAATAATAAATTATTATTAAATATAATAACATTAATATATTAAACTTGTATAATTTTTAATAAAAAAATTATGTATGAGGAGACATAAATTAAAGAATAAATTAAAATAAAATTTTGTTAACCTTTAAATTGAAATTAAGTAGTTAATAATAGTAAAATTTTATTAAAAAATATTTATTATATTTTTATAATTTTAATACGATAACTGTGTATCTTTTTTATAAAATTTTTAATCTGTAAATACTTAAATTCTTCTAGAAATTGAGGTTAACAAAAATTTTAAAATAAAAATATTTTGTAAGTGTGAGGAGGATGGAAGAGAAATGATGCGGCGTGTATGGGGGATGAATGTAAGAGTATCTGCAGCTTTCGAGATAGATTTTGCTCTGGCAATGGCAGGGCTCGAGGTCTCTCATTAAACATTACACACTTAGTCACTGGATAACTCTATTATTTTCTTTCCCTTCAATTGTGGGGACTTCCTATTTTCAAGAGATTGCCCACTTAAAAGCTCAGAACATGTCTTGCTTGCTTCAAAAAATCTCAGCACTCCTATTAGGAATCATTCTTGTGGGAACCATCCTTCACAAGAATCATCTTTCCTAGATAATATAGATTACTAGCTACTGCTACATATATATCATGGGAATATTAATTTTTTACTAAAACAAAAATAATGCAGTTGAGTTTAGCATAAGTCTCATTGATTTTTCATTCATCCAATTAATTTAAATATGTATATATAAATTCATAATTTAATTAGTTTAAAAGTTTGTTTGATAAATAAATATAATAAATAAAAAATAAGATACGAGAATTAAATGAGAATATAATAAGATAAAAATATGATAGACTCTTATTTTATTTTATTCTTACTGCATGTTAAAATGTAATAAACTAGATACATTATATACTTTTTTAACTGTTTTAAAACCAAATCCTTATAATAAATTTTATATTAAAATTAAAAGAAGGATAATAACAGCCCTATAAAAAAATCTAAAATAATTATCTTTATAAATTTTAATACTAATCAAGCACTTATCCTAAAATTTTCTTTAGCATGTTCATACAATCATCAAGATTCTACTTTGATCATAACTCGTATATCTTAGGCTAACAATCAATTAACACCTGAGGTGGGGGTACTATTAAAGAATTAACATAAATTTTATGCTAATATTAGCTAGTTTATTTCATTTGATACCACTGAGTGCACAGGATTAAAGTCCTGTTTATCTTGCACGGCACATCATGTATGTTGAGGAGTATGAAAATGTCGAAAGAAAAGAATAAGACGCGTCAGACCCACTGCAATTAAAGAGTAGCCATTAGCAAGCCAATAAAAACCAGAGATGGATGTGCCTAGATACAAAAGAAAATGAATGAAGCATCCAACTTTTCATTGCTTGGTCTCTTTGGGGTATGCACTAAATACAATATTATAAGGGAAGCCTTTCCAAATTTTGAGTTGCAGCCTGGTGGGCCTCTTGAAGCATTTTGCCAAATTTTGTGCGCATGGTACAGTGTAGCACTTTTAGAATGCTCATTGATAATCTACACTTGAAAAATAAATTTCCAATACTAACCCACACTTAATTGTGCTTGTGTGCCAATTTACTTCATGTATGCTAAAATATGCGCATGCAAGCAAGTATGGCGGCTAAAGCCCGCTTGCTCCTTGCCAAATTGTCTTGCAGTTAAGGGCTGAGTGGGGACAACATGTCCCTCAAATCTCATAAACACTTGAAACAAAGATGGACCCTAATGTGCCATGAAGATGGGACACATGCTAGATGTTGTGTAGCCTTGTGGGGTCATCCACGGTGGTTGTCTTGGGGGCACATAGTGGGACCAATAAGGGGTTTGGGGTTTGCATTATTATGTGCTAGGAATGAGGTGGAGGGTAAAGAAAGTAAGTGAAGAGGATGTGGCATTTAGGCTTGTGTGGGGTTTAGAAAGGTGACTACTTTTAGTGGGACCAAACTCTAGGATTAAGGTGGGTTTCATCTCCACACTTCTAACTTTTTCCCCATAAAAGGTATTTTTTTTCCTTTTTGTCTTCAATTTATCCTTGCAAACAATTAATTCTAAGACAGCTTAGATTTTGCATGAAACTTTGGATGTGAAAAGGTGGGAGATTTAGTTTGGAATTTGTTTTGAGACTTTTTAAATAAGATTTTATTCAGCAAATTAAAGTGGTTGACCATTTTTTAATCTTTTCTATCTATGATGGATATGCAAGGGAGTGACTATATCTACAAGAACCAGTGTTTGTGTGTGGTTGGTTGGTTTGGCTTGCGTGGGAGAGAACTTAAGTGTGGGCTTGCGAGGTAGTGTTTTGAGTTTGGTAGTGCGCGTGCATCATAGAGAGGTGGATATTGTGGTCATTATGGTGCTGCCAGCCACAACCATAAGATTTATTGATGACGCCATACATTCTACATCATTTCTACCTCTTAAAACTGCAAAATTTTGATTCTAAACTCACAAATTTTCATCATTGCTTCCCCCTTACTTAACTTTTCTCCACTTCTCTTTGCTTCTCAAATTTAGTTTCAACATATGCCCTTTATTCCGTTCCGTTATAGTGGCAGTGTAAACTAGCTTTTGTTTATTTTTCCTTTACATTTTAAACAATACAATATACATGTCTTTGTATGATGTACGTTATATATAACCTAAATGGTTAATGACCATTTAGTTTGGTAGTGTTCATTACATGTCTTTGTACCAATTATAAGGAGAAGCTTTGTAACTGTTGGTTATGAAAAATTATTGATATAATCTCCACTATACTCGTAAATTGAAAGTCAAGGAGACGACCTATATGATGAGAAGTTAGTTTTACATGTCGGCATAGACAGGCTACCAAAACTTCCTCTAAAAGACCATGAAGCACTAATTACTTCCTTTTACTTCAAAATTACTGTTACTTCTATATGAGACTAGTTAAACATTATGATCCAAATCAACTTTATGTCCAAACAAGTTAGAAGAAAATCATTATATTTGACTTGGAGTTTGGTTAGAACAAAATTTCAAACTAAACGCCATTTTATAAGCTGTTGTTGTAAGTATGTAACATTAGTTTCCAGAATATCTAGAAGGAATTTCGAACATAAAAATGTTCGACTTTCAGGGTAACATAATGATAAACATTATTTAATTTACTATAACCCAAAGCTTTTAAGACTAATCACTTGGACGATAAAGAGAATCCCTTTTAATTTAGATGCTGACATGGTTAACAAGGGTGCATGCATGCTTTGATAAATACAGAAAACAAATTGATAAAATAGGAAAAATAATGATAATGCCACCTAGCTACATGAAACTGCATGAAGAATAAAAATGATGTTAGTGCTTTTCATTTTACGTACGGGCCTCCCCAATTCAAGGATATTCTCATTATTTACCTGACACGCCTGATTTCTTTTGGTTTTTTCATTTTGTTCCTTCATGGTTTTTCTTCTTCTGCAAAATAATAATTATTATTCTATGACCAAATATGGATGATATTTTGAGCACGTCAAGTTTTTGGTTAACACCTGCTCTCCTAGCAATAGACAAAGATGTCTCCATCAACTGAGGTGTTTTCACTTTTCCATTATGCAGTGGCCATTATCTATATCAGAGTGTGCTCATATCACACAGAGTCCCCAGTGATTGGGCCTTTTATTTCTAATTTTACTCTTTGGTTACTTAATGTTCTGTTTATCACTGTTTTTAACTTCGTATTAGTAATATAGCTCTAATTAAATGGTCTATATATTACCTCTACAGAGCTCATAATTGTTGTCTTGCAGAACAACAATACAACATCTAGCTCCGGTTTATGATTGTGTCTCTATTTTAATAGAATTATCATTGAAATAGTTAAGTTGAATTGCTGAATTTTGACTCACGAAATCAAATTCCTTTGAATGAATAAGGTCTTGAACTGTGGCTAAATCTTAAGTTTCTTTGTGATTGTGAAAAGAAGTGCATATGGTTTCAACACAATTATTTCTGGGATTTCTCATTATCAGTTCAACCAATCATTCTAGTCAAATCTGCCCCGCATATCTCTCAAACTTGGAATTTAATTAATTTTATTTTAAACTAAATTTTCCGTAGCAAGCCATATTAAAAACCAACATATACATACCAGAGAGCTCATAGTATATATAGAAAATATCTTTTGAAATATTAAACCATTTTTTTTTGTTTTTTACTTAAACCTCTAATAAATACTTAATCTTCAGTTCACTTTTCCAAATTTATCAGGCAAAAAGAAAATTCGGAAAAAGCACTGTTATTACTCTTATATATTATTGTAAGCTATGTTTATGTGTAGTTAGAAGGGTGAAAGAGTGATTAAGGTACGTGATTGAAGAGTAGAGGTATAGAATAGGCAAAAGGACAAAGGAACAAACAAGGACTTGATTAACTTGGGCATTAATTCCGTTTGCTGTTTCTGTCTCTGACAGAAGATTGAACTAAAAAAAACATAACAAAATTGTTGCATATCATCACCCTATTCACTTCATTATGCCTACAATCATGATTCTTGGTTCCATAACCCGCATGCTCTCTTCTAAAACCTCACTCACTACTTGACACACTCTCACCCTATCTCACACACACCTATAAATCCCAACCACCCCACAATCCTTTCTCTCACCTCTACCTCAACACCACAACCAAATCTTCCTCTCACATTCAACATTAACATTACAACAACCAATCTTAAAACTTTGTCATTGTTTCCAATGGCATTCTCCGGTTTTGAAGGGTTTGAGAAACGGTTGGAGCTGCATTTCTTTGGTGATGATCCAGCAATCCTCCAACTGGGTCTTAGAAAACTTGAGTTTGAATGTATAGAACAAACCCTACAAGCTGTTCAATGCACGGTGGTTTCAGCCGTTGGAAACTCCTATTTTGATGCCTATGTGCTATCAGAATCAAGCCTCTTTGTGTACCCAACAAAGATCATAATCAAAACATGTGGGACCACCCAACTTCTCAAATCCATTCTTCCTTTGATCTTCTACGCACACAACCTCTTAGGCCTCACTCTTACCTCTTGCCGCTACACCAGAGGTAGCTTCATCTTCCCCAAGTCACAACCTTTCCCTCACACAAGTTTCAAAGACGAAGTAACCTTCTTAGAAACCACACTCCCTCCAAATTTATGCTTCAGAAAAGCCTCCATCATGCCCTCAAAATCTTCCTCACATTCATGGCATGTTTTCACCGCCACCACCAACCCCTCTCATGCACCTTATGATCACCACCACCCATTCACCATGGAAATATGCATGACCGACCTCGACCCCCTCCTCGCCGGGAAATTTTTCCGCCGACCCGGCGACGGAAAATCCGGCGACTCTGCCGGAAAAGAGATGACGGAGCTAACCGGCATCGACGAAATAAACGAACACGCTCTGGTGTGCGATTTCGCGTTCGACCCATGTGGGTACTCCATGAACGGCATGGACGGGGACTGGTACTCCACCATTCACGTAACCCCAGAAGACGGTTACAGCTACGCAAGCTTTGAGTGCGTGGGGTCCACGTGCATGAATGGTGACGTGGACATAGTCCACGTGTTGAGGAAGGTGGTTCAGATTTTCCGACCGGGAAATATGTCGGTGTCTACGACGTCGTGCGGTAACTACGGGAACGAGGTTTGGAGAAAGGTTGCAGGTGCGGTGGAGCCTCTGGGGTTGAAATGCCGTAGCTGTGTGATGGACCAGTTTCCGGCGGCAGGGAGTGTTGTGTTTCAAACGTTTTCGCCTCTTCGCCGGAAAAGGGCACAGTAAGTAGGAATCGAATGAGGTAGAGCTTAGGCAAAATTTTAGGGCGGGGGTGACGTGGCGGGACGTGATTGGTTGGTTGGTTGTTATGGATGCTGAATATTTATTCATATCGGGGTTGACTTGTTTGGGAGAAGAGTTGGAAGAGGTTGAGAAATGTTAGTAACTTACCTTTTTGATACACTCTTTTAAATATATGTTTTATTGTCAGTTGAAATTTATTAAAAATGATAAAAGATATGCTAGTTTTATTTTTAATTTAATAAATTTTATTTATATTTTTATAATCTTTAATAAGAAGAAAAAATATGTTAAAAGAGTGTATTTCTTTTAAAAAGTTATAGTTACAGGGATGAAGAGGGGATTGGTTTTGGAAGGAATAATATGAAAAAGGGTGAGTGTAGAGAGTGGAGGAAGTTGGGATACTGGGAGGATCATCATAATGCACCCCACTTAGGCATGTCACGCCTAAGATTTTTGAGGATGTGTTGGTGGGTGTGAAAGTGCTACTCTTGTTTTTGAGGCTATATTCAACTTCCTTTCTTTCCTTTTTTTTTTGTTTTTTTATCATCCCGTTCTCTCTTCTATATATCTTTTATCAACCTCTTTGTCTTTCATGCTTTGTTTAATCATACAAGGTTTAGCTGCTCTCCTACTGTGAAGTTCGTCCATGTGAATCACGCCTCATGATTAACCCAGTTAAATTACACTTTTGAATATTATCATTCATTTTATTTTCACTTGAGTGTTTCTTGTAGCACTGTGTTTTGGGAATTGGGAGCTCAAAGATCAGAAAATGGGGTAGGTGCATCAAGCATTAGTAGAGTTACATGGAATGAAGTTGGGTTGTAAATTTGTATTGCCACCTTTTCTTTTGCACGGGCTTCTGTCTGATGTATTGAGAGGGTTATTTAAATCCCAAAAGGTGTAACTAAACCTCGATCAAGTAAAACCTAAAAGGAAATGGAAACGGGTATCTGAGATTTTGATAAATATTTATTATTCAAATTACTACATATCTTTCACCTTTTTCCTTATAAATTAAACAATGCTATTATATATTTTATTTGTGAAACTGTTCCTGGCATCTTAATCTCGTCAGAACAGTATATAATTATGAGTAATTGGAGGAAGTTTAGCTCTAATCCACATGCATTACGCGGGTATATATAACTACGTACAAAGCTTGGGTAGTGGTGGCATTTTATGGTCATTAAGAAACTTGAAGTGCACGTGGCCATAATTGAATTTGGGTGACACGCCAAATAGAAGGGAAAAGTAAGAGACAGATAGAGAAGCAATAATAGTGTGTTCCAAATTCTTAGCAGCCTTTTTATAAACAAGGAGATCTTCCCAAAAAGGTTCATAATTAGTATACCCGTTTCACATAATACAAGTTACACGACCAAAGGTATAAATACAATTCGGTGATTTCATGGTGACAATTCTGTCCTTACGTTGATTTTGTGAAGGGTACATTACGTACGGTACACTATTTAACCATTACGTACGTTGATTGTGCAATTCGTAGAACCAACGTTTGGTCATAAAAAACGTTCTCAAAAGGAATACCATAATACCATTTACTTGTTCTTTTTTACCTTTTCAGTTATTTTTCGCAAGCTTTTACCAAATAGTTTTCACTATGGATCAATACTTGTATACCGCTTTAGCTTGTACCTAAGATCAGGTGTAAGTGATGCCCCTCGGCTCCATTTAGAATGAAGTCGTAGATGTATTTATTAGAGCGTCAAAGTATACCCAAAAAATGTTGAAAAAAAAAAAGCATACCCATAAAACAGCCCAGCTCTTATCACCTTATTTGAACATTTTTGAAGTCCAATTAACAAGCAACTGTTGCTAAAAAAAAAAAGAATAAATAATTTTAATTTTAATTTTAAAAAATACGAAAAAATGGTATGATTGAAAAAAACTACAGTACAGAAAAAAAGTAAAAACCGCAACTTAGATTCGCATTTTAAATAGATTTATATTTTTCAGGTTCGTGAATGGCTTGCGTGTAATTCACGACCAGCGCATGCATACAGCTATTTCTTTTTTCCAATTTCGTTGCCCTTCTATTTTTTTATAAATGAAATAAAATGTTAAAAATTAATATGTATTATTTTAAAATAAAGAATCTAGTCATAGTCTTTCTATAGACTATAACTTTTTTTAAAATTTTTTTTTTATTATCATGAGTTTCTCACAATTGATTCTTAATTTTAATATATTTTAAAAATGTATATAATGTTCATTTTGATACATATAGATTGCATATTAAATAATTCAAATGGATGTAAATTTTAATATATAATAATAATTTGAATTTCAAATCAACATTGAATTTAAAAATAAAGTTATTAAAAAAAAGTAATAATGTAAGAGTGCCAGAATCTAACACTATTGTAAGTTGATCTCAACTAAACTAGTTGATATTTTATTAATAAATTTATTTTAATTTATAAAGATGAATAAATGTTATTTATAAAATTACATACTTATAAATATTAAATTTATTTAAAATTTAATATATATATATATCATCATCATCAAAAATAATAAAAACTTGTTCAACAAGCAATTAATACAGTAAAATTTACCCTGAAATTAAGTGAGTTTTCTCTTCATGTCCACAAAGAGTATCAAATAACATCTATCAAACTTGGTAGCATAACATCTTTAATAACTTTATTTTATCGAAAGTAATTTTCATCAATGTAATATATTGAATTTCTCATAAAGTATATCCAATATTCAAAATATAAGAAAATAGCTATTATTAGATAACGAATATGCAAATGTTAAAATTTATATATATATATATATATATATATATATATAATTAAATAATTATAATGATAATATCACAAAAAAGATTATTAAAATTATTATGTAATTATGTTTGATATTTAACATTATCTGATTGTATCCTGTATATACTTGGAGAAAAAAAAAGTATTATCTACAGATTCTTTTGAAAAAATTAAAAAGTTTTTTTTTTTAATGACAGAAAACATAAACTAGCTTCAATGCTTCCATCAGTGTTGGAAAATTGTTTAATTTAACCTTGGATTGTTTTGTATTGCTGAATGGGTCACACCCGTAATTTCAAGCGGGGATAAGAACTTCTTAATCCACCAAATGGTTGAATGAGAGCAAGTGCTTAACCTCAATCTCTGTGTAAATGACCTCTGATCACAATTAAAGGATATCTAGGAACAATATATTTTTGTGATTATTAGAAATACGAGTAACATATATTTTTTAACACACTTTAATTATTAATTAAAATAGATTTAAAATTATAAAAATAACATGATTTTACTCAATATTTTTCTCTTTTAATTAAAAAAATGTTGTAGAAAATGTGTTACTAGCTTCCTCTTGCGCTTAATTATGTTCTACTGAAGTACTGTGGAAGGAAAAACATAAATTGATAATTAATATACGTTATATGTACACGTGATGTACAGATCTAAAGCTAATTATTCTTAAGCATCTAAAATTTCCTACCCCTTGCACAAGCTTCAATCAACCTAGTGAACCTCTAATGATGGCCTTGGGCTTTGTTTGTTTTCAAACCATGACCTGTATATTAGCTAGGAAACTTTATTGAAAACTACCAAACCCAATCACGACTGTAGAAAATCTTTTCATAATCTATACGACAAATAACTTACGATATTAATAATAATGGGTTTGGAATTTGCTGACTAAGAATCCATTGTAAACAATGTTATTATGAATACCTAAATACTCTAATTTTAAAACAGACCATCTTGAACATGGAATTATGGATGTCTGATCACATTCTTAAAGATTTGAGGACCACACATGCAGCTCATCATTGTAAATTATTTTTCTTTTGTTTATGCAACCTTTGAGATTTTTTCCTTCACAAGCTAAACCCCAGTTATGCCACGTATTAGAAATTTGAAATATTGCTGGGATTTATATTAGAATATGTAGCTGTTTATGGTGCAAAATGATAATTTATAAATAAATAATCCAAGAGCAATTTAGGAACTGGATTAGGTCATCTTTAGATTCTTTTAAGTGTGTTGTGATTAAATAGACGTTGTAAAACAATCTGCTAAATAGGAACAATATAAAACTGAATTATAATGTAGAAGTTTTTACAGAAATGTGCTAAAAGAAGAACTGAAATTACAGGAATAGAAAGCAAAGTAAATTAAAAGTAAATGCAGGAATATAAATAATGCAAGAAAATAAACGTACGACTCCTAGCAATGAATAGCAACACCGTGGGTCTCCTGATAGCTAGTGTCTGGCGCGGTGCAAGTTTTCAGCGTACAGAGGTTTTGGGTGCAAGTATCTGGGTGCAAAAGTTGTCCTCTAAAAAGTGAAATTCTAAGGTTTTTATAGGCAAGTGGATCGCTACTGTCTACCTTCTTTTGCGGACACTTTCTTAGTAACTGTCTTTGTACGTGCTTACTTTCAACCGTTGCTACCAATTATCCACGTTTGCTTATGATCGTGTTAGTGGTTAAGGCTCTTTTTATAACTGTTGTTGTCCACGATTTTTTTTCATGTTATTGAACCTTCATCTGGTGATAACTGTCGGTAATTGTTGGCAGCTGTTCTTGAACGTTACAATGTCTTATGAGTCCTATTAGGACTTTTTATTTTCTCTCTTTGAGCAATTTCTAGAAAAATCTAGGAGGTTCATTGAGTATTATAACCTTAGAATATTTTCCTCTTGACTTCTTTTTTTTTTTACTGATTTTGGGGGTTTTGAGAGCTTATCTTGGCCTCGTGAACTTCAAATACTTTCTCTGATTATTTCCCTTTTTCTCAAGCAATTTTGGAGGAAATATGGAGCTCAACCAGATTTGTGAACTTAGAATATTTTACTCTTCCTGATTTTCGAGCAATTATGAAGAAGATCTGAAGCTTTTGTCAAGTTTGTGGGCTTAGAACATTTTTTGGCCATTTTTGTTTTTCGAGCAATTTTGTGTTGCTAAGGCCTTAGAAACCCTCAA